TTTCCTTTTAGCATGTTTTGTGGAAAATACAAAAAATTTACAAATTTTTTGCTTACTTCTTACTTCATAGTTTTTAGAGACCATGTTGAAGTAGTCTTAGAATTAGACACCGAAATAAAATATAAAACAAATTAGATTCGTAAAAAAACAACAATTTTAAAAATAATTTTATTTACTTTGCCTTAAAAAAGTATTTCGGGAACAATCGTTGAATTGACACAAATACTTTTAATTTATTAATGTCACAGTTTCTAATTAAACACATTTTTTTAAATGAGCACAAAAAAATAATCATAATAGAGGAATGACGGAAGACGGAATGACAGTTTGTTTGATTTGGTACAGTGTTGCCAGAATATGTTTTTGTTAATTACTAGATTTGTCTAAAAAATGTACCAGATTCCTTAAATGTATCAGATTTTTCGAATTCATTGAAAGGGAAAAAAAGGGGTCTTTATTGATAACAACCCCAAACAAGGAACACAATATATATATTTTACACTTGAACACTGATGCACGCAGAATGTACTACATTTAGTACAATTGTGAATTGTACTAGACTGGTAACAAAGGTTTAGCAACCTTGTTTGTGAGCGGCGCGCCAATTAATGTATTCTTTGACAGTTTGAAGAATCTGTTGGCATGTTGTCTTCTCTTTTTAACTATATGCATTCGCTATATCGTCTCACTCGTGTTAGACACAGTATACTTAGCCAGATCCGCAAAGCATATCAACGTGGATTTAGAAAACATTAATGTCCCCAAAATTAGAAGAATTTGAATTGAAAATATGCTTTAAAATGTCAAAATTTCTGTACAAACAATGAGAAAAGTGATTGTTAAAATGTCAATATAAAAAAAAACAGTTAAATTATGTTGTTTTTGAAGTAATTATTAAAAAAGTCGATCTTTAATATACCTACTGATAATATTGTTGATGCTCTCAAACAGGTAAATTGCAAGCTCACCTAGAAGGTAGTCGATTGAAATTATAAAAAAATACTATTGACTCAGTTTATCGACCCGATATTGCTCCATGCCCATCTTCTTCCAACTAGTTGTGATTTATGATCTTGTAGATATGCAATTTTGCATGCAGTTTGGTACATGACACTAAGTATATAATGTCTTGAAAATAATACTATATAAATACCTTGCTATTTAACTTTTATTACGCTAAACATTAAATTTCTTAAGAAACTTAACAAGAGTTAAACAGCAAAGTATTTACAGACATTACAAAGTGCATTAAATATAAGTTGATGATTACTCTCAAACGTACCACTTTTTTTAAATTTTCTTTATTAGGTTTATTTAAATTTATACATATTTAAATATACAGCTAGAGCCAAAAAAACACGTAAACACAGTTGCTCTGTTTCTTGATAAAAACAATGTACGTTTCATGAACATGTAATTATGTAATAAGTGATATCAAAATGGTTTACAGTGGTAAAGAAAAAAGTACAAATATTTACCTAAACTAAGATATTTGACATATAATTACTAAAACGGTATAAGATACGGGTAAAATATGACCTATTTCTGAAATCAGGAAGAAGGTCATTCTAAAAATGAAATAGTACTTAATTGTATCATTTAATAGAGTTCAACGAAATAAGACTAATGCCACTAACCGCCTATTCGTAGCTGAAACTGTTGCATAAATTTCAAAATTATTCCATTATGTAGTAAAAATTGACCCAAATTGAAGCCAAAATCCCATTCCCATCATCAACAGATAGGAGGATGGTATTTTATCTATAGTACAATACATTGAACAATAATCCTATTTGCAATATGGTTTTATTCAAAACTAGCTCGTTGCGAGTTTACTTATATATTGTGTATTATAACCTTACCTCTAGGTAATTAATTATTAACGATGACAATTTCATTGAATTTGTTTACATTTTGTTCAAAGTAATTATTTTAATTCGATATTGTTTTGGGGGTTTGACATCTCAAGAACGATTTGGCGTTAAATGTCAGTCGACGACGGAACACGATAGTTGACAGTGTAAAGTGTTGTATGCCGTTCAGTCTGGTTCTGACTTCCAGGTAATGGAAACTTCACAGTTAACGATTAAAGTCGCGACTCGTTGTACGAGGTGCGTTCGTTTAACTGTAGGTTTGTACGCGCTCATGAGTTTTTTCGCGATCGGTTTTGTATCGATTTTTGTCAGGAGCAATTTCCAAATGTTATATTGTATATAGATATAGTTTGTTAGGGTAGTCTTTTGTAAATAGTCTCTAAGATATATGCTGATAAATTCTTAAGGATGAAATTCTGAACCCACTCGGCTTGTCATTTTTCAAAGCGAAAGTAAAGACATTGTTCTATTTTTGCTGTGGCAGATGTTGGTAGACAGGTGAAGAAGGAGGTAACTCCAAGTTTTGTCAAGGAATGAAATCTATATTTTATATAACCATCGAGTTATCCTATTAAAGGGGTTTTTATATTTTACTCCAAGATTAATTGTGAAAGAACCGGTTTATGATATTTTTGGGGAATTGTAGTGTCTAATTAATGTTTTTTTTTTGACCAATTCCATACCTATTAAAGGGATTTATAGACATAAAAATTGGAGATCCATTGGCATTTGAGTCTGTAATATTGAAGTGGATTCTTCAAATATGGTTGCTGCGAGCTGTCTCGTTTTTCTTTATACTTGGAAGGCTACCAGTTTAATCCTTTACGAAAAAGGGTTCACCCGGAAGGTCTTACACTTCGGAGATCAACGGTTTCAAAGTAGACTCAATCGTGGGGATACAGTACATCGGTTTAATAGAACAGTGGTCCGTATAACAGTAGTCCATTGGTATACTAGCCATCTAGCTTACCAATAGCTGTTTTTAGATGGATGGATCTTTATCTGGATAAGAAGACGGTGATGCTGTCGACGGAGATACCCTACTATCAGGTTATAGTATAATAAGGGTTTCATACGTTCACTCTGTCTGCTAATTTATTAAATTAAACATCCACTCTTTATACGAATGTTTCTAAGGTATTCTCAACATTATTTATACTTCTGTACAGAGAATATTCTACTGGGTTTTCTATTAATAACTATTGTATGACTAAATATAACTTCATAATTTAATTAATTAAGCACTTAATGATCTAAGTAGTAGCCAAGTATAATCAATCAATTCAAAATTTTGTTATTTAAGTACTTAGTGTTTCGGCCTGGGTACTGACCTTAAATACCTCGGGACCTAAGGACTACGTTCAAAATTTCAATTTTTAGATTTCTTAGTTTTAAAAAATCATAAGTCTCAACTGAAAGTTAAGCAATCTCATATGACCCATAAGGGACTGAGATTAAGTAAATAACCTCTTCCAATCTGGAAGTTTTAGTAAATAACCTGTGTTTATTACATTTTCTTTTTATTTTGTTTTATAATTTACATTTTATTATAAAATTTCATGGTTTATTATTTCTTTTTCTTATAGTTTGGTCTTAACTATAAAATAGGCAGATAACTTTTTCTAATTTGGAGGGTGTTAAAGATTTATTGTGTTTCAACATTAAACTTTGATGTTTAGATATAGGTGCGGATATGCACATGATTATTTATATTTTTTTTGATTTCATAATTGTAAAAGGTAGAAATTAAGATGTGCATACCATCTTGCGCAAACGTCCTTCGCCTGGTACCAAGCAAACGACCGACTGTGTCATCTGTTAATAAATTTATTTTCTTTGGTGTTCATGCATATTACATATATGACGTATACATTATTTTAATTTCTTACCATATTTAGCTACATTAGTTTATTTATGAATTCATCAAAAGCCATAAGGTAAATTATTTACAAGGTTGTTGAATAATTTAGAGATTTTATGTTTTTTTGAGTTAGTTCTTGGACTCTAACTTTTGAGTTTGTTGTTTTTTTTTATTTTGGCAAACAGATTTGTTTCTTAAATGTAATTTTAAACATTGTTAATAATTTTTGCGATAATTTATAAATTTTTTATGAAGGAACATAGGTTGAGGTTTGTCTTTTATTTCTTTCCTCGTTTACTGGAAGCTGCTTAGAACTATTGGTAGGTTACAAAGATATGGGCGTTTAAAGAAAAAAATGATTTAACATGGTTTTCTTTTTTATCTTATAGATTGTGAGTCGTATATTCCAAAAATGTATTGCTTTTTAGTCCATGTCTGTGGGAAATACCTCAAAATCGCTGTTAATCATTTAAATAATAAATGTTATTTTTTTATAGAAGTCGTCGCGTAGATTCCGAAAATGTATGTAAGTGTGGATCTCTCTCTCTAACGGTAGAGCTTTCAAATTTTATAAAAAAAAAATTGAAAATTACATTTAGGTATATTATTTTATATACCTTTTTAACTTAAACTTTAAGTATTTAACAAAAAACCCTGATTTTTCTGTTAATTCCCTAAATTTGATCTAAAATCTCATTTTCTATCCTTACGAACAATTCATCTGTAATAATTTATTTACGCACAAATATTATATGGATGAAAAAATCTTAACTAATTTACCTAACCTGTGCGGCCTGGAGTCATCACAAGTTGCTTTGCAAAAAATATATACATAAAATATGAAAAATTAAACAAATATTAACTAATTTGTCTAACCTGTGCGGCCTGGAGTCATCGCGAGTTGCTTCGCAAAAAAATTATACATAAAATAAGAAATTAAAAAAAAAACTGAATGAGGTTTATAGTGTATTAATGTAAGCATAGTAATTTTGTAATGTGCCCTTTTTCAAACAATAATAAAATCAAAATAAATTAAAAAAATATATAAATAAAGGTGAAGTACATTACAATACAATATGCTCATTAAGGGAAAAACAATTAGGTTCTCGAAGAAACGACCATCTTATTCTTATAGGTGCATTATATTTCAAAAGATCCAGGAGTGTCAATCGTACCGGCTTCTTTTGTTTTCTCGCGCGCCCTGTAATACCGACCGATTTCTGCCAATCTATAACCTCAGGTCAGGTTAAAGAGTGTAATGCAAAGACATAGACAATATGTGGAGTAATTAACGTTGGAGTGGAGAGGAAAATGCCGACACCGATTTTTGCCCCCGGGGGTATTTCTGCAACTAAAGTGCATCTTCTCATTACAAGTGGGAGTTAGAATATAAAAGCTTTTCTCCAAAATCTGTTCTGTTACACTGCCAGAGTGCAATAATCTCCCAGCATGAAGCAAGTAAGATTATTAATTCATAATATTTATATTGTTTATTGTTTTGTGTGAAGTGATTTTTGGTTTACCAGTGGCGTAGGATAGACTCTATCTGAAGTTTTTTAATTGTGACTTTTTTAATTTATTTTATTGCATACAAGGTGGCATTCAAATGTTTGTTGCAAAAATTAAGGTTTTTTTACTGATTATTTTTTTTATTTATCAAAAATTTGTGATTTCAGCCAATTTAACAAATCATTGAGTTTTACACTGTTTTTTTTTTTTAAACTATAAACGTAATCTAAAAACTTTTATCAAACTACCTCAAATCTTTGTTAATACCCAAATTTCAAAATTATTGTTAATTTTACTGAACAAAATTTAAATCTGTAATATTTACAACATTCAACTTTTAACAATTTAAACATCATTTTTTGAATGCCTAAACAATTCTAAATTGGCTATATTCAGCAGATCTAGTTTCATTTTATAGTTTAAGATACTGAATTCAAGATAAAAAACCTTAAAATTTGGCAAATGTCACATTCCCGAAAGGAAATGTAATCTACTGTATGTCTTTGCGGTTTTGCGCATGCCCGGCATATTCCTTCTGTTACAGTAATACGTTGTTGCCATATTCTTTTTTTGTAGAATATTAAAGGAAATTAAATTAATATAAAATAAACAAATATTTATAGTATTTGTAGAAACTTCTAGATTATTACTTGCTCTAAATATGTTTATGTGTCTTTGTCATACAAAATTATCACTTGTTCTTTAAAAGTGTATCTATTAAATTTGGTGGTATTACCTTTCATTTATTTATAAAATTTCACTGATGTACTAAAAGAGAAGGATTTTTTCTTTTCAACTTTTAGAAAAAATGTTCTTCATAAAAGTTTTTGCTTAGTTCAAAAATAATAATAATTCTAACAGAAATTAAATAACTCTTTGCTTTAGTGAAATAATGATAGAAACAAATTTTTGAATTATTTTATATTCTTCAACAGACTTTTTGGTGCGTTTTGTTTTGTATTCTCCTCATCGAAAAAATATTTCGTAACCATCTAATATACTTTTAAATTATAGAGAGTGTCTATAATCTATAAAGGTTATAGAGTTGGTCAAGTAAGAGAAGTTTTACATTTTCTATGTGTAAATACATCTTCAAAATTTTTAAATTTTTGCTTGTTTTTAAGTAATTTTGAGAAATGTTATTTTATAGTATTGTTTGTAGGGATATGAAAAAACTTAAATTAATTTTTCTTCTCTACAATATGACATATTTGTTTTTGAGTATGACGTTTCGTTTTTATGGCACCCATCATCAACAACCTTTTTTTAAATACATACCTGTTGTTTTTGTACCGATTTCAATAGGAAAAAATATTCTGTGTACAACTATGTGCCACACTTTATTATTTTACAACGTTTCGAACCTAAAAATCATCCTCAGTTTAAAATTTAAAGTAAGTGAAATTCAGACTATTTTTTTTAATATTTATATTTATAATTAGAAAAAAATTTGAATAACAGATTTAAACAGAGCACTGATTAAACTTTTTTTTTAATTTTTTTTATATTAGTGTTTTTTTTTCAGTTTGCAAAAATAAATGAAATTGTTCAATGTGCTTCTTATTTTTAAGCGACTTCAAAAAAGGAGGAGGTTCTCAATTCGTTAGTATATATTTTTTTTTACTTTAACACGGTGTCCGATTTCAATGATTCTTTTTTTCTTATGAAGGAGGTACCTCAGGGGTGGTCCCATATAAATTTAATCAAAATCTAATAATTGGACCCATCAGAAAATCCTCAAATTCTTCATTTTTTATGTATATTTAGCGATAATTCTTTTTTCTACTCCCACATGGATATTAACGTATCTACGCACAGATTACAAAACGAAAAAGTATACTATTGCCTTCAACTGAACGAATATATTTCATATTCATTCTAGGTAGTGAGAACACTACAAAAAAAAGAAATCCACCAATCACCGTTCATATTTTAATCAATCGACTGCTATTATTTTTAAAATTTTAAATAAGTGACAATTCTGTCAAACTAATTGTCAGTATATTTTTTAGTTACTGAGATTAAACATATAATAGGTTATTTTTGTGTAGAACTGATAAATAATAAATAGCATTTCTGTTTTTATTTCGTCTATAATTATAAATAATTTGGTAATTTAAATAAAAATATATGAAGTCAATTTAATTACGAGTATTAAAGAAACAAAAAATAAAAGAATAGGTGGTCCTACAGTCAGCGTTCCTGCCTTCCACAAGGAAGACTGGAGTTCGATTCTCGGATGGGGAAAAATGAAATTAACTTTTTTTCTTTTTTTTTTTTTTCGTTTATTTTATTTTAAAAATTATTAAAAGTCATAAATTATTTTAAAATTACTTATTTTGTCTTAATAACCTAAAGTATTTTTTTTATTTGTAAATTTTCGTTAGTGGGTCGTAGAAAAAATATACTGTACAACTCGAGTGGATTCTCCACATCGCACTTAGACGATTGAGCACTCCGCCTACGGCGTCAAGCTTAAATTTCGTCTTCGTGCGATATGACCATCATATCCACTCTTGTTGTACAACCTACTATACCACCTTGTCCGATTTCTATGATTATTTTTTTGTTAGTAAGGGGGTACCTCAGGGGTGGTCCCATATAAATTTGGTTAAGATGTGATGATGGCATCTGCACGATTTCGAAGTCGGTTTTTTTAATTTTTCTAAACTGCTTAGGTCACTTTCCTTAAAGTATGTCGATTTATGACTGCCATAAAGTTTCCAAATATTTTATAAAAACGGATTTTACTTACTTTAAACTGATGATAATTTGTAGGCTTGAAACGTCGTAAAATTATATTTTTACTATTAAAAACGGTATAAAAAATACCAGGTCAGTTTAAAAAAAAGGTTGATGATAGGCCCAAAATAAAACAAAACGTCGAACTCAAAAACAAATTATGCCATATTGTAGGAGAGAAAAAGTGTTTTTAATTTTTTGATATCCCTACAAATAGCAGTATAAAATGAAAATTACTTAAAAACTAACAAAAATTTATAAAATATGAAGGTTTAATTGAAATATGAATCTGTTTTCATATTAACTACAAATAAGCATTGAAGAATGAGGTATAAATAAAATGTCTATCTTTTGAACCTGTACTACGTTCTGTAAATTACTGTACTGCTATTGAAATTACGTTATTAAAAACACACATACGACTTAATTACAATAACAGTTGATGCATGATTCAACCATAAGAAAAACCTTAAAAAGGTAAATCATATAATCACATAAACATACTTCTTATTTAAATTAATTTTTAATACACAAGTTCAGACTCGGATTTAATTTTTTTACATTTTTTTTTTAGTTTATCAAAAAAGTTATTATTTGAAAAAGATGTTTATTTTAGCGACTTCAATATAGTTAAAAAAAAGTATCAATTTAGGAATCACCCTGTATATTATTAATTTCCAATAATAATTTGGTTGTCTTTTTTATTGTCTTCTACTTTTTCGCTTTTATCTTCCGATTTTTCGCTTTCTTCTTCATGTTAATCCTCCTAATGTAAATCGTAAATAAATATACCAACCATTTTCGCCATAGATGGCTTCTGTCCTTTTTTATCTTTTTGCTTTTTGATTTTGATTTCTTTCGTACTATCTTTTAAAATACGATATATTTTTCTTTCAGTTATACCAGTTAAAATGGCAGTTTTTTCAGTAGCTTCCCGTTATATCTTCAGTTTTTTTTTTTAATTATGCTTAGCTTAGATTTTTCTATTTTGGAAATATTTTTTTAAAACTTCATAACTATTATCGGTAATATTTTTAAACGGTATTTAGTAAATATTGTATCCAATGCTAAAATTGTATGTTAAACAATCAAGTTTTGATGTTGTTTTTCTTTTTATATTTTTTTTTATTATTATTTTTCTTTTCTAATTATTATTGATTAGGAATACTAAATAAATCTGTAGAGACAAAAAAATTAAATAAGGGTATGACATAAAATTTTCGTAGATACTGAAAAGTACAAATTACGAAACCAAATTAACTAAGGAGTATTGAAGTAATCGTCATGTTGTTATAACTAAGAATAGTGTAATACTAATGTGAGAAAATATTAATTCTTTAGTTATAAGATTAGAATAACCATTTGGATAATTACTACAGCCAAGAATTATGTGATTTAAATCTTAAGATATGAATTATCTCAAAAATTGCAGCAATGATTTTATAATAACAAAAATAAAAGCATTAATTGCCCAACATTTTACCGTTTACAAGGCAAATTTAATTATTTAGAAGATAAGTAAGAAAATACATAAGATAAGTAAATAAAAAAATATACAGGGAGCAGCTAAATTATGAAACCAACTCATTTTTTGAAAAACTATTACATTTTTAAAAAATCCTGACGCAGTTGTTGACTTTTTTAAACCGGAAAATAGTGATGCCGCGAGACGAGAGAGAGATACATTTTCTCTCGAAAACAGATTCGAGACGAGAGTGTCATCTCTCGACGAGAATTTCTCGTTTCTCTCGAGCTCTCTCGGGCTCTCTCGAACAATTTGCTCTTTGCTTATTTGAAATTTTCAATTGCTTATCGTAACTTAAAATTTTAACATATTAGATTTCGAGTCACACCTATTTTATATATATTTAATGGTAACAAATGATACTTGTGTTATTAGGATTTTATAAATAATGATTTAAAAGAAAAAATATTTATCATTTCATTTATTTAAAATTTATACAATCATTTCTTATATTTGATCCATTCTGCTTTTCTGAGGTTACTTTTGAAGATAAGTTGAAAATTTTTAAGGGTTTTTTTTGAAAAACTGTTAAAGAAAAGGTAATACAAACTAATATATTATATACAGTGAGGACGAAAATTGTACCCTCCTCTATTTTAACTTCTAAATGAAAAAGGATAATGACAAAACAAAACGAGGTAAAACTCAAGAGATATTATATTTTTGTTATAATGTGATGAACTTTACTTGAGACACGTAAGATAGAGGAAGTTACTAGCTTCAAATTTTCTAATGCAAAGCAGGGTCATGTGATATCTCATTTGAAATATATTTTCTATATTTTTACGTTCATGTAAACAGATTTAGGTTTTTATGTTTTTACAGAAATTACATTAAATAAATTCATAAAGTAGGTTAAATTCTTTTTTTTATTTACCGCTTCAACCTCAAAGGAAAATTACCGGAGGTATAATACCTTATAAATGCTTTTTTTATTATAGTATACAGTGGATAATTATTATTTTGGCTAGTACAGAGTAAATGTCAGTATCTTTTATAAATTTAAGTAAATTTTTACTGTTAGAGGGATTTAACACTGCACAAATGGTATTTTTTTGTAGCTGGTACTTTGTTCTTATATACATATGTTCTGGGCCTTTACTAATAAGTTACATTCTTGATAACTCTCCTATTAACAAATATTGTTTATTACTTCTTGTATTTAATAAAATAAATTAAGAATATCGAAGGTGATTTAAAAACCACTTAACGTATTAAATTTTTCATAACTTCTTGGCAAAAAAAAAGCTTATTAAAATTCTCTTCTAACATTATCTAACATTTCTAGGATTATTGCGACACACGAAGATAATCAGGAATGTAATTCTTGTAAAATTAAAAAAAATTAAAACTGTTTGCTTGGACGTAAATATAATCAAAATATCTTTCAAATGAAGTATTACATGCCTTTACTTTCCATTGGAAAATTTAAAGGTAGTAACGCGCCCTACTCACACGTTCTTTTTCTGAAGAAATTAGATACATTATTCAGTCATCCAGTGAGAATTCTCTATTCTCTTGAATACATGAAACGTGGATTGCGGTTACATATATATTAAATGAGCAATTACAGAAAACTACATTCGACGTTTGGGATCAAACGAGATATTATGACAGCTATTTTTAAAATTCAACAATTACATCATCACGCCAATACAGGTGACGTAATAGGTTTTAAATATATATTGAGACATAGTCAATTAAAAATACAAATCGAGCTTTTTAGGGATTTTTTTTTAAATTTGATAATTTTCGAAAAATTGCGTGGTCTCCATAATTTAGTCGCTTACTGTATAATAAAAGTAGAAAATAACCCAATAGCACAAAATATTTAACCATATATTTTGAAAATACAATTAGTTATTTTTAAAATTATTATTTAGTTGTTTATATTATTATAATCGTTTTAAGCAGATTTGTTGTGCTTGGGATATTCCTATTTTTGTTAAATGGTCTATTCATCTACCAAGAATCTGATTTTACTACTTGATGACAAAAGAAAAATTAACATTTAAGTAGACTCCTACTCTTTTCTTCATTTGGTGCAACTCCAATAATTTTTAAAGTTATCTTTAAATGTGTAAACATTACAAAATTCTACCAACTTTTTTTATTCTAATGAGTAAAGAAACAAAATCCGTACCACACAATATTTTAATGAAAATTATAAATTAGGCAACCAGTTTAGGTATATAAGTTATCATCGCGCCTGAAAGATTATAAAAATTTAAAATAAACAACTAAAAGAATGACTAACCGTTATTAAGCTGGGTATAGAGCTGGGTAGTCAAAACAAATTAACCTTCGCCTGGGTTCCAGATCATAGAGGATATAAGGGAAACAAAGATGCTGATGCCCGAGAAGGAGCGTCAAAGGCTCTTATTGGCCTAGAACCCTTCTGAGGTGCTACAAAGACAGCTACTAGAACATGAATAAAACAGTGGATGTTAAATAAAATTCAGAAATAGTGGAACAATTCACCATGACAGACAGGCCAAACAGATCTTAAATTCACCATAGCCAAAACTCTTTGTCGGGTATAAGCAGGTAGAGTTAGGTTTGGCACAGAACACTGCGGCCTCTTGGGTCTATTGTATTCTCCTGCTTTCCCCGTATTCAGGTACTATCTTTGGAATAGTCCTGTGTCTTTGGTTAGTTTTAATAAATTCCCTACCAAGTGTTCCTTGGGGCGTTCTTTCCGGTTCTAGGACGAAAAGGGTGAAACGTCGCCTAGTAAGAGCTTCGCCTTCGAAGATCACATGATATGAGGTTTCTTCCTCTTCCATACAGTCTACACGTAGTGGAATCATTATGTAATCCCATCACATGAAGGTGTTTCAGCAAGCAGTGCTCCGTTAGTAGTTAGTATTCCAAGGCAGTTCCAGACAAGCTTTGACTTGATTCTGTTTGAATCAAGAGCCTTTATAGCTGCTTGACTATCTGAGAAAATTAGGATGATTTGTTTTTATACTTTCTTCTTAAATTCTCTCGTACGCGCAATTCGATTGTATGTATTTCAGCCTGAAATACAGGGTGTTTTCTCAGTGAGACGATGATGTCGCATTTGGGTTTAACTACATTTACGCCAGAGCCTGTTCCTTTGTTAGTTTTAGATCCATCCGTTTACCATACGAGACCGCTAAGCAAGTATTTATCTATTTCCTTATTTACCTCGTTCCAGTTGACCTGGAAGAGTCTGTTGAAGGTTAGGAGGGCTGTCATGTGATCTGATCCTATATTTAATATAGAATCATTACCTTCATGTGTTATTCTGGTATGTTTTATATGTCCCAGTGGGTTCCATTTGTTGAGATTTCCAATCTATGTACTCGTTCTGGCCTCCCCCTTTATGACTAGGTCAAGGGGTGAGGGGTTTAGAATGATTTCCATAGAGGCTGTCAGAGTACTTCTCAGTGTACCTGTAATACAAGGGCATGCCAGCTTCTAAACTCCTGAGAGGGTATTGAGGGCTGTTTTCTGGTTTACTTTTGGCCACCAAACAACCGCTCCATAAGTTATCATGGGTCTTTTTATTGCCAAATACAGTCAGTGGACCATTTTTGGTTTTAATCCCCATGTTTTTCCAAATGCCCGTCTCCCTACAATGAGAGACATTTTACATTTGTTGGTAATTTTTTGTAAGTGTTGGTTCCAGGTAAGTTTGCTATCTAGGATTAGACCCAGATATTTTACTTGGTTCGTTTTGTTTAGCCTTCCTCCAAACAGAGTCGGAGTTTCTAAAACCTCCAACCTTGTTTTCCGAGTAAAGGTTATGAGTTGTGCCTTGACAGGGTGTACCTAACGCACCACATTTCTGTCAGCCTAAGAGCTCTTTGCATGAGTTCAAAGACTGTAGTTTGGTATTTCCCTCGGATAAGGATCGCTATGTCATCGGCATATCCTGGTCGTACAGCCCTTGTTTGTTCAGCGTTTTAAGCAGTTCATCTGCTACTAGATTCCACAGTAGAGGAGAAAGGACTCCACCCTGTCGGCATCGCCTGTGGATATTCACCTGCATGGTTTCACTGAACATTTGTGCCTGTACTTGCCGTCTGCGTAACGTGTCTTCTATCCACCAGCAGATGATGTCTTCTATTTCATGTTTGCGAGCAGCAGCTACCATTGATTTAAAGGAGGCATTATCAAAAGCTCCTTCTATGTCAATAAATGCTCCTAGGACTATTTCTTGGCTACTGAATCCCCCCTCTATCTTGGTTTCGAGATGATGCAAAGCAGACTCACAAGATTTTCCTGATTGATAGACATGTTGATTGGTATAAAATGGCCTCTCTATTAGAGTGGTTTGCCGGACATGCAGATCAATTAGTTTTTCCAATCCTTTCAATAGAAATTACGTTATTGATCTATAGGCCTTTGTCACGACAAAAACAAAAACAACTTTGCTTTGTTTCCAGGTATTTGGTACATGTTTATGCACTAAACTTGCCATGTAGAGCCTACAAATATGAAGGGCCAGCGTTTTTATTGCCTGTTGTAAACGCACAGGCAGTACCCCATCTGGTCCCGGTGATTTGTATGGATTGAAGGCGCGTATTGCCCATGTTATTTTCTCTGTTATGACTACCCGTTTAGCAGTTTCCCACTCTTGGCTGGAGACTCTTTTTTGAGAGTTCCAGTTAGTGTGGGTTTGGTTTGCTGCATTCGAGTTTGTTGTGCATTCAGGGAAATGAGTTTTAAGAAGTAGTTCTAATGTTTCCATACCAAGCTATTAACAGAGCATTGTAGGCTTAACACATATATGTATAACATCGGTCTGGCAGAAGAGCCCGTGTGCCGATTCTGTCAGGAGGAGGAGGAAACTGCAGTACCACGTTTTGTGCTACGGTGAAGGTCTATAGAAAATGAGGTTCCTTGCACTTGGAGAAGAAAATCAGAGGCAATTAGCTACGCTTTGGCGTCTACTACAAAAGACCAAAGGTTTGAAAAGATCGAGGGAAGGGGAGGCCACATAGCCCACAGTTCTAATTATATCTAAAATAACTGTTTTAAAATTGAATTTAAATAAACGAATTATGGAAACTCTTTCTGGATATAAAATTATATCTAGGCTCTAGTGCATTGTCCAACAATGGGTTTATGGTATATTGTACTCCCAATCTGGTCAAAGACCGTTCCATTAAGCGTATAATTTCATAATTAGTATAATTTTTTTAACCAATGCTATATTTAAGTTTAAAGTTTCATGACAAGTTTTCACTCAAAACCACATTTCCTGTTAGTTTAATTAAAGTACAAAACCCATTTTTGGACAATGCACTATAGAAAATAGATATAATTTGATGTTTAGGATTTTCCATATTTCATTTATTTAAATTCAACTTTTTAACGGTGTAATTTAATATAAAAGTACCATTGTTTATCAACTTTATGATGATGGCTTGTATGCCGAAACTAATTTTCAAATTTATAATTTTCAATAAAATATTGTGTGGTAGGTACTGATTTTGTTTCCTTTCTCATATTAGAATATGACCACAGGAGATGAATAACCTTCTTGACCTTTTTTTATTCTATTACAGACAGTCCTGGTGCTAGCATTATTTGGCTTCGCCGCATGTGCCCGCCTCGATTATCTGCCTCCAGGACGAGGAGGCGGTGGCGGTGGTGGAGGCTATCCTGGAGCCACAGCGCCGGCGGGGCCTGGAGGGCCGGGTGGGGCAGGTAGATTCCCTGGAGGAGGTGGAGGCGGAGGTGGATATCAAGGAGGTTCAGGAGGCGGATACCAGGGAGGCAGCGGAGGTGGTTACCAAGGAGGTGGCGCTGGAGGAGGATATCAAGGCGGTGGTGCTGGAGGAGGATATCAAGGTGGCGGTGCTGGAGGAGGATATCAAGGAGGCGGTGGTGGCGGGGCTGGTGGCAGACCCGGAGGAGGATACGGTAAGAATGAAAATAAAAATATTAAATTACTTAAAATTACAAAAGAAGTAAAATATACAGGTATTTTGTCCTTTGATGATTTTTGAAAATCCGTTTTGTTAAGGAGATACAGGGCCAACAAAATTTTAGACAATAACATCAGTTTATTATCAAAAAATACATGTAAATGTTACTTAATCTTCAAGAACTGTTGAAAATGACTACCTCCAGCAAGAATGCAAGCATCCAATCTTCTCCTCATTGACTGCCGAACTCTTTCAAAATCGCCAGGGTCGTTTCTTATTGAGTTACACCCAGCAATTATACCAATTCGCAAGTCTTCCACATTTTCTAGTGGAGTAGTATATACTAATGACTTTAGAGTATAGGAGGGGATGGCTCCCAAAGGCTTATATTGAGCGGCTCGGACTTACATCATCATAGAGGATTAACTGAGTTGTCTATGGAGTGGCATGGCATTTCTGTTAAGGTTCACTTGAGTGTTGAGACAGAGGATATTGTTGTATCTTTCAAGGGTAATTTCAACATCTTCATGGAAATCTAATAAGTTGAATTTTTTTATGTTCAAGTTGACTAATAATTTGGAGTTTTTGTTGGGCTAAAATTATGTTGATTGAACCTCAAGTGATGTCCGAATGCAGATGTGTCCGGCCTCTTGATGTGCTCGCCTATCCGGACTCCCAAAAATCTGTAAGTTCTGCCGATATGACTGGCATCGCAACCGCTGCATTGCAACCTGTACACTCCACTCTTGTCTAACAAATTTGTTTTGACTTTGGTGTTGACTAAATGAGAGTCTAATTTATTAATTGATTTAAAAGAGACTTTAATGTTATCTAAGTTGTTAGCAAAAATTTTTGATATGCTCTTTGTTATTTTCCCATAAGGGGATTAATATGTAAAAATTATTAATATGACTTAAATTAGGGTAGGCTAATTTTTGAATTTTCTTGAATTTAATTTTGGTGATTTGAGATTGAATTATGTCCGGGTCATACCCGTTGTTAAATGCAATTTCTTTAAGTATATTTAATTCTTGAAGATAGTTAGTTTCATTTAGAGGGATTGATAGAAGTCTATGAATATAGCAAAAGAAAGCAGACATTTTATGTTGGTGCGGGTGATTTGAAGAATAGTGTATCACGTGGTCTATTTGGGTTGGTTTTTTATATATGCTAAATTCAAATTTGTTACCCTGCCTGTGGATAGAAAGGTCCAAAAAGTTCAAACAACATTCTTTTTCGGCTCCAGAGTAAATTTTATATTGGGATGGATAGTGTTAATTGAATTTAAAATATTAGAAGCCATGTTGGCATCACCATTTATTAGATAAAAAATGTCATTCACATATCTGTGATCAATTAAAATTGTCTTATGTTGTGGAATAATGTAGCTGGTTTCTAGATGGTCCATGAAGATATCAGCGATTAGAGGCGATAGGCCACATCCCATAGCAAGGCCATCCGGTTGTTCATAGGTGATGTTGTTAAAAGTGAAGAAATTTTGTGATAAGCACAGGTTTAAAAATTGTAAAATGATGGTTGTGTTATTGGCAGAAACGTTTGAACTTCTCAAGACCTCCCGAACCAAAGGCATGGTCTCAAACCTTGGGACCGAGGTGTACAGGTTGCTAATATCGAAAGAAACCATGGTGCAGTTGTCAGGGATGTTGAAATTTTTTATTTTATTACAAAATTCTAAAATATTATTTACTGAGTTGGCTGGTTTGAATTGTGTGATATAATGCATTAAGTTGCAAATAAAAGTGGTGATTTTTGAAACTGGAGAGTTGATGAAACTAAGAACTGGCTTAATTAGTATGTCCGTCTTGTGGATCTTTGGAAGTACGTACCAGCGATGCATGATTGGATTGGATAATACCATGCAATTTGAAGCTTAAAATTTTGATAAAAAATCTTTGTTTAACTTAAGTAAGACTTTAGTTCTTCTCATGAAATTGTTGAAAGAGTTATTAGCCAAAATATTATTTTCTGTCAAAAAGGTTTTTACTTTATTTAAGTAGTCAACTTGATTGAGAATTACTAAGCAATTGCCTTTATCAGCTTTCGATATGATTTTGTTCTGGGCTATCTTAGTTTTGATGTTTTTTAAAAGTTTTTGTTGGTGATGGACTTGCAAGTTTTGATATTTGTTTAGCTGTTTTTTGTAGGCATAAAGTTTATGAAAAATATCCTTTCTGATTAGATGTTTTTTAAAGAGTAAAGGTAAGTATTCAATGATGGAATCCAGCTCGATGGACAACCCCAGCAAAATTTTTACTACCAAATGATCAATCACTAGACGAATTCAAATGAAATCCAGATTTAATCTGTATTTCTTTACGATGTCTGAACTTTTGCCTGTTTTAAGTGGAAAAATAGCCGTTTTTAGCAATTGGAAGTTGTTAAAAAATAAACAAAAATAACGAATTTTTAAAAAAAGTTGTATGTTCTTGATTAACACAGTGTAGTACCTATTTTGATTTAGACTATTTATAATGTCAAAAATAATAAAAATAGTTTTCTTGGAAACGAAACGGAATTTTAAAAATCAACAAAGAACAAAATATTCTTAGAATAATCCAAGGAACAAACCCTTGAATTTTTTCCGCATGTTTAAAAAACACCCTATATTAGGCTTGATAGTTTTTCCATATTTTGGTACAATATTCAAAAGGTTAAAAAGTAACAGAAAACTTTATTACCAAAAAATATGTAGCGATGTCAATAGGGCAGTGCCAGGGTGCCAGTTAAAGAAATCCCCTACAAAAATTGAAATATTTCACTACGTTTCGCTATGCGCTACGGTCTCTTGCAATATGTCATATGACATACGTCTTATGTCATATTGTCCGCTTGTTTTATGTTTCACAGATCGAAGGTTGGTTTATTTTAACATTTCTGTGTCAAGTGAATTCAAGATATGATTCAAATCATTAGTAATCTGCGGTGCAAGATGTTGTTACCATAAAAATTACCAATTTTTTTATGTTATATGACTAAACTCGTCTTTATAATAAACGGTACAAAGCATATGCTTTCAATTATTACATGAGTTATTATTTTTTGTACTGTAACAGATCTAATTTCAAATGCTTCTATGTTTTAAGATATTTTGTCAACACTGAGTGTTACCAACAAAAAATTCTAGTAATAAAAGCATAAAAGCAGTGTTACCATCTGATCAGTGTTACCAACATAAAAATCTAGTAAAAAAATCAATGATACCAGCTTACTTTTTACACGTTAAAAAACATTTCAAAATAAAACTTATTTCTATTGGAACACCTCACATTCTACCTTTAATATGAACTTTTCATCATCATTCGTCATTCAGGATCCTGGCTCAACTTACTTCACATTTATTCTATCCGTTGATTTATAAAAGGCATAGAGTAAATATATAGAATTAAGAACACATCCTCGGGACTCTCGAGCTCTTATTTCTAATAAATTCTAATATTCGTCTTTCTACTTAATTTTGTTTAATTTAGAAACCTTCCAGACTTACTATAAAAATATAACATCTTGTTAGTGGAGACAAAATTCGTATAGTTATGATCCTTGTCCATTTATTTGATTTCAAAACACTTGTCTGCAAACCCTTATTTAATTAGGAAATCCATACAACAACTAATAGTAATCTTGTAGTTTAATTTTAAGAAAAAATATTACAAATAAAATAAAACTATACCTATAAAGAAATATAAAAATAAACTTTATTTTTTTGTACCTGCCAAAATTATGCATTTTAAATAAGCTCTTCTTTAACTATATATTTTTCAGTTCCTCCTAAATATGTTTTGTAGGTAGGTAGGTAGGTAGGTAGGTAGGTAATAATAGGTGCATAATTTCATTTCAACAAATAGAACTGGCATACCTATTTATCTAATTTTTCCATCAAATTGAAATACCTACTATTTACTTTATTTTCTGTTATTATAATAGATATATAATTTTCTAATCACAGTTACTTATAAAACAATGAATAAAATATCGAATTAAAACTCTATTTTAAACTCAAAATGTAAAAAAAAATATTTTCTATTGTGTTGGGCGACATTTTACTCAATTTACTAACATTTGGTCGCTGCTTGGGCGATTCTCTTCCCATCATATTGGCCCGAGCTGCGATATGAGACGAAGTAATGAAAAAATAAAAGTACAACTAAAATACAATAATTATAAATCGAAAATGGAATGAGCACAATTTAGTGTCATCTTTATTCGTTGGTTATATAAAACTTTGACTTCAATGCATTCATAACAAAGTTTTGAAATGTTTTTCCTTAGTTATTTTTCCCTGTGTAAATAGGACTTTTCAATTCGCTCCTCCTAGTTTAAAAACAGAGTATAGAAGATATTACAAATTACAATACTATTATAGCCCATTAACTTTTTTTTAAAACAGCAATAAATCACAATCTCAATTTGACATAATCAGCCTTACTATTGAGTTGATTAATTAAAATCATTAATGATATCAACTAACAACTTGTTATTAAGGGAAACATTAAAATAATTCCGAACCCATTAAAGTTCAAATCCATCATAAATAACAACTATCCGAAACAAGCTCTTCCTCTTCTTCAAAGAGATTGCATCCTAGCGAGCCTTGAGAACGACCTCAAACCAAAAAAGAAATAAGTGATATTCCTCGGAGATGTTATGTTATTTGTCATTAAAATATTAAATTTTTTTTCGTTGATCTAATCTTCCAAATGCGAGAGATGTAAAATTAATAGTTCGATTAGTTTGAAATAATAATGACAAGGTCGTTTAGAGTAACATCGTTTCCAAAACAAATGGAATCGTTTTCGAAATAATGCGGTTAATATATATAGAGTGTCCCTCGAATAAATAAAGAAAATATAGCGGAAAGTTAACTACGAATGAGTTTATGATATTTGAAATTGATTTGGATGACCTTTCTTAGAGCACTTACATTCTTATTTTGTTTTGATGCGTTGATTTCTTCTTTTTTTCCTCTTCGTTTTTTTC